GTTAGCCAGGATGGTCTTGATCTCCTGACCTCGTGATCCGCCCGCCTCGGCCTCCCAAAGTGCTGGGATTACAGGCGTGATCCACCGCGCCCGGCTGTAGGCTTTCTTATTCAGGTATCACCAACACCTAGGGCAGTGCCTGGCATACAGTAGGTAATTAATGGAGTATTTGATGAGCGCATGAGACATGGTGTAGTGCCCATGGAAGTGGAGTCAGAAGGCCGCCTGCCGCTGCGGCAGAATTCCCGTGTGGCCTTCTCCCCGGGGGCCTCAGTTTCCCCTCGCAGTTACGATCCTCTGGCCGGCGCTGGGGTGGAGCCGGCGGGGCCGTCGTGCCGCCCGTGGCCGCTAGGGACGCTGATGCCCTCCCGTCCCGCCCACTTCCCGGCCGGTCCGCCCCCAGCTAGAGAAGCCCCAGCCCGCGGTGTCCGATCCAGTTGCCCCGCGCCGGAGCCCCGTAGCGCGCCATGGCCTGCTACATCTACCAGCTGCCCTCCTGGGTGCTGGACGACCTGTGCCGCAACATGGACACGCTCAGCGAGTGGGACTGGATGGAGTTCGGTAAGTACGGCCCGGGGAGGGGAGGGGTCCAGGGCGACTGGTGCCCCCAACGATCCCGCCAGCCGCCAAGCTCCCTCGGGCACCCGGGTTAAGCGGGTCCCGATCAGAGGGCGTGCGAGCTGAGCCTCCTGGACTGGGCCCGCCGCGGACCTTGGCCCGTCACCTGAAGGTGCCGCGTGGTCTCTGAGGACGTCTATCGGGAGCTCTGTCGCCGCCGCCACTGCGCTCTGAGTCCAGAGAACGGTGGGTGCTGGGGCCCTCCTGTCACCGCTGCTGGTTCCGTGACGGCCCCGGGTGGACATCCAGCCCACAACGGCGTGCGAAATGCGAGCCTCGACCCGGTCCTGCAGACAGCGCGGGCAAGTGCGCGGGGGCTTGGCGACCGAGCTGCAGAGGGTCTCTCAGGGACCACGGTGCTGTCACTCCTTGGGGGTGTGTGTGTGTGTGTGTGTGTGTAGTTTTAGTGCATATTAGAAGGATCTATTACTTAACATATATATATATATAGAGAGAAACGGAGTTTCGCTGTTGTCGCACAGGCTGGAGTGCAATGGCACGATCTCTGGCTCACTGCAACCTCTGCCTCTCGGGTTCAAGCGATTCTCCTTCCTTAGCCTCCCGAGTAGCTGAGATTACAGGCGCTCGCCACCACCCCAATTAATTTTTTGTATTTTTAGTAGAGACGGGTTTTCACCATGTTGGCCAAGCTGGTCTGGAACTCTTGATCTCAGGTGATCCACCTGCTTCTGCCTCCCAAAGTGCTGGGATTACAGACGTCAGCCACTGCGCCCAGCGTATTTATCATATTTGTGATTAAATGCACGTTACCATTGTAGTTTTAAAATCAAATATTTACTTTTAGTATACATTTTTGGATCACAGTATTTATGACTATAAACCTGTTTTGAGATCAGATGTGTCCTAATAGGTTCAGTGTGTATAATGTGGCCTAAGCACAGGCACTTACTTTCACTCTATCGCAAGGTGCACAGTTGTCGAAAATTCCATGGGAAGGCACTCAGACAACCTTCATATTTTGTATTTGTTGGTGCCTGATGGATGACTGGCGGAGGGCCATGGCCTCTGCTGGGGGTTGCTTGCCTGTTGTCTCTGCTTTCCAAGTGGAGATCTGCATTCCAGACTCTTGCTGTATGACTTTGGGTCCGTTTCTTAACCTCTCTGAGCCTCAGCTTCTGAATCTGTATGTAAACTGGATATGATAATTATAGCTTCTTCATAAAGTTGTGAGGAATGAAAATATTGTATAAGAGCACCAACACCTAAGTGTTAAATATTCTTATAAGTCATAAGTTGTAATCTTTCTTTTTATTTTTTGAGACAGTCTCATTTTGTGGCCCAGGCTGGAATGCAGTGGCGTGATCTCGGCTCACTGCAGCTTCTGCCTCCTGGGTTCAAGTGATTCTCCTGCCTCAGCCTCCTGAGTAGCTGGGATTACAGGCAGCTGCCACCACACCCAGCTAATTTTTATGTTTTTAGTAGAGATGGGGTTTCACCATGTTGGCCAGGCTGGTCTTGAACTCCTGACTTCAGGTGATTCGCCCGCCTTGGCCTCCCAAAGTGCTGGGATTACAGGTGTGAGCCAGTGCGCCTGGTCCTGGCTTCATTACTTTGAATATCTCCTGGGCAGTGGACAAACTTTGCATGGGACTCCCTCTCATTTTTTCCACATTGGCCCAGCCCTCAGTTACAAATGTCAGAACAACTTCTGTTTCTAGGAAATTCAATTAGAAGGCACACCTATGAGTTTAAAAAAAAAAAAAAAAAAAAAGCTTTATTGAGATATTCACATACCATACCATACACCTGTTTAAAGAGTACAATTTAGTGGCATTTAGTATATTCCCAGGGCTGTGTATCCATCTTCACAATCAATCTTAGAACATTTTAATCACCCCAAGAAGAAACTGTACCCCTTAATTGCCAATCCCCTCCTTCCATTTTCCCAAGTTTTAGACATTGCCTATTCTGGACATCTCATATAAATGGAACCATAATATATAGTGCTCTGTGACTGACTTGTTTCAGCTAGCATAAGGTTCATCCATGTTGTAGCATGCATCAGTACTTAGTTTCTTCTTATTATAGGATAATGTTCCATGGGATGGATATACTACATTTTATTCATTTATCAGTTGTTGGTCATTGGGTTCCTTTCACTTTTGGGCCATTATGAATAGTGCTGCTGTGAACACTCACGTACAAGGTTTTGTGCAGTGGTGCAAACGTAGCTCACCGCAGCCTCAACCTCCTGGGCTCAAGCGATCCTCCTGTCTCCTGAGTAGCTGGGACTAGAGGTGTGCACCGCCGTGCCCAGCTAACTTTTGTATTTTTTGTAGAGACGGGTTTCACCATGCTACCCAGGCTGATCCTGAACTCTGGAGCTCAAGCCATCTGCCCATCTCAGTTTCCCAAATTGCTGGGATTATAGGTGTGAGCCACCGCGCCTGGCTTTATGTTTAACTATTTGAGGAGCTACCAGATGTTTTCTAAAGTGGCTGAACCACCAGTGTATGTGGATGACCATTTCTCCATATCCTTGTCAACATGTGTTATTTTTTTCTTCTTTTCTTTTTCCTTTTTGAGACGGAGTCTCGCTCTGTTGCCCAGGCTGGAGTGCAGTGGCATGATCTTGGCTCACTGCAACCTTAGCCTCCTGGGTTGAAGTGATTCTCGTGCCTCAGCCTCCCAAGCAGCTGGGATTACAGGCGTAAGCCACCATGCCTGACTAATTTTTGTATCTTTAGTAGCGATGGGGTTTCACCATGTTGGCCAGGCCAGTCTTGAACTCCTAACCTCAGGTGATCTTCCCACCTCGGCCTCCCAAGGTGTTGGGATTACAGGTGTGAACCACTGCACCTGGCTGGTGAAGTGGCATCTTACTGTGGTTTGATTTGCATTTCCCTAATGACTAATGCTGTGGAGCATCTTTTCCTGTGCTTATTGGCCATTTGCACATCTTGTTTGGAGAATACCTCTGCGAGGCTTCCCACTGGGGTGGATATGATCTGAACGCTTCGCCAGGCCTGTCTGCTCTGACACATCTGCCCAGTGCTGGCCTTTCTGACCTCCTCATCTTCCACACCCACTGTCACTCCCCTGCTCCAGCCACACTGATCTCCCTGGGCCAGACACAGGGTCTTCTCATGTGCTGTTCCCTCCGCCTGGGACATTCTTCCCCCTGTGTTACCTGGGGCTAGATTTCTAGTCTATTAGTTTCCTCTTGCTGCAGTTACAGATTACCACAAAGTTGGTGGCCTATAACACCTCAAGTTTATTATCAGCATTCTGGAGGTCAGAAGTCCTAACTCAGGGCTGCTCTAGGGGTTTCCTTGCCTTGACCGGCTTCCTGAGGCCTGCAGCATCCTGTGGCTTGTGGCCCCTTCCTTCCTCCATCGTCAAAGCCACTGGTGTATATCATCACATCTGTCTCTGTGACCTCTGCTTCTACCGTCACCTCTTCTGTGAATCTGACATTCTGGCCTCCCCCTTACAGGGACCCTGGTAATTACCTTGGCCAGACCCAGATAATCCAGGATAATCTCAGCTTAGAATCCTTAATTTAATCAAATCTGCAAAGTCCTTTTTGTCACATAAGATACCATATTCACAGGTCTCGGAGCTTAGGATGTGGATGCTTTCCAAGGGTATTATTCTGTCTGTCATAGTCCTTCAGGTAAGCTCCCCTGGCACCTTCTTTGAAATGGAGAAGCCTTTCCTGCCCCTGTTCCTCTCTAGCCCATCACTGTGTTTCATTTCCCTCATTCCACTTCATGTTCTTTGATGTCCCCTCGTTCATTAAGTGTTTCCGCCTGTCTCTTCTTATGGAGTGGAAGCACAGTGTGGGCAGGGGCCTTACCTGTCTAGTTTTTCACTCCTGTATTCCCAGAGCCTGGGCAGTTCCTAGCTAGAGGGCAGGTGCCAGAGTGAATGATGAGCTGCCAGGCCTTGGTGTGGTGAGGATGTGGACTGCCCCCTATTACCCATTGGAGCTGGCCTGGAGCCTTGGGTCAGCCCCCTTCCCACACTGGATCACAGCCAGCCGTGCCCCCAGCCCACTGCTCCTCGCCTAGTACCAGCGCTCTGGTTCCCTCTTCAGCCAAATGAACGAGTGACTGTGATCGTCCCTTCAGTCCTAAAAATTCTTGGCTTCCTGTGGGTCATTTTAGAAAGAAGACAGTCCCTCGGAGCTGATGGTGGCACTGGGAGAGTGTAGTGAGAACACTAAAGTGATTCAGAAGATCCCGCAGCCATAGACAGACACGCTCTTTTGGACCCGACACTTGGCAGATAATCTGGCCACCCCTGGTTCTTGTCTCTGTGATGGCAGCTGCCTCTGTTGGGCTTTGCCTGACCCTGTGTAAGATGGATTTCCTACAGCTTCAGCCCCGGGTGTGTGCAGAGGGGCTCGACGCAGGGTCTCTTATGTGACCGCTCCCTGTCTCGTTCACTCATGCGTGTGCCAGCCTTTGTACACAGCCCTGCTTTGCCCCTGCCTGGCTGTGTGACGTCAGGCGGTGACTGTCTCTCTCCGAGCCTTTAGTTTCCTCATCCATGAAGCACCCTCACAGAGTTGCTGAGAGGCTGAGGAGACTTAGCTGGTTGTAAAGGGTCAAGTTAGGGCTTTCCTCATCCCCTACCCAGGGAGGGGTGTGGGCATTTGATTCTAAGATGGGTCATTTCAGAAGGCTGTGCCATCCCTGCTCTGGAGGACTTTGAAGATAGGCAAGGTTTTCTACTGCCTCGGGTGAACTCCTGCAGGATTCAGGCACTCAAGAGTGATAGTCCCAGTACTGTTAACCATCAGGGATAAAAACATTTTCAGGCCAGGTGCAATGGCTTACACCTCTAATTTCAACACTTTGGGAGGCCAAGTTGGGAAAATTTCTTGAAGCCAAGAATTTGAGACCAGCCTCGTGATCCGCCCGCCTTGGCCTCCCAAAGTGCTTGGATTACAGGTGTGAGCCACCGTGCCCAGCCTTTTTTTTTTTTTTTTTTGAGATGGAGTCTCGCTCTGTTGCCCAGGCTGGAGTCCAATGACATGATCTTGGCTCATTGCAAACTCCACCTCCTGGGTTCAACTGATTCTCCTGCCTCAGCTTCCAGAGTAGCTAGGACTACAGGCACATGCCACCATGCTCTGCTAATTTTTGCATTTTTAGTAGAGATGGGCTGGGCGTAGTGGCTCACGGCTATAATCCCAGCACTTTGGGAGTCCAAGGTGGCCGGATCACGAGGTCAGGAGTTCGAAACCAGCCTGACCAACATGGTGAAACTCTGTCTCTACTAAAAATACAAAAATTGGCAGGGTGTGGTGGCTCACGCCTGTAATCCTAGCACTTTGGGAGGCTGAGGCGGGTGGATCACGAGGTCAGGAGATTGAGACCATCCTGGTTAACACGGTGAAACCCCATCTCTACTAAAAATACAAAAAATTAGCTGGGCGTGGTGGCGGGTGCCTGTAGTTCCAGCTACTTGGGAGGCTGAGGCAAGAGAATGACGTGAACCCGGGAGGCAGAGCTTGCAGTGAGTGGAGATCACGCCACTGCACTCCAGCCTGGGCGACAGAGCGAGACTCAGTCTCAAAAAAAAAAAAAAAAAAAAGAAATTAGTCAGGCAGGATGGTACTCGCCTATAATCCCAGCTGCTCGGGAGGCTGAGGCAGGAGAATCACTTAAACCTGGGAGGCGGAGGTTGTGGTGAGCCAAGATTGCGCCACTGCACTCCAGCCTGGGCAACAGAGCGAAACTCTGTCTCAAAAAAAAAAAATAAATAAATAAATAAATGTAGAGATGGGGTTTCGTCATGTTGGCCAGGCTAGTCTCAAACTCCTGGCCTCAAGTGATCTGCTTGCCTCAGCCTCCCAAAGTGCTGAGATTACAGGCGTGAGCCACCGCATCTGGCCACAGAACAGGTTTTCATAGAGTGTAGATAGTTTAACACTTACGGCTAATACTTATATCATGTTTATTTTGTGTCAAGCACTGTTCTGAGTGCTTCTGTACTTATAACTCGTCTAATCCTTGCAACAGTCTCTGAGGCAGGGGCTGCTGTTATCTTTGTTTGACAGATGGGGAAAGTGAGGCTCAGGGAGAGATGAACACCTTCCCCAAACACACAGCAAGTAAGCAACAGAGACTGGATTTGAACCCAGGCTCCGAATCCCAATATCTGGCCTCTGAACCACCACTACTGTCCTGCTGACTTTCACACATGTTTTCATATCTGTAGAAAAAGTCTGGAAGATTAGACACCAAAATACAACTGGTGGTGTCCTTGGAGTCCTCCAAGTGGGATGGTCATGGGGACTTTCATTTTCTTATTTCTCAAATGTTCTACTATGACCAGGTATTACCGGTCCATGTTGAGAAAAAAACTTCGGACTTAGCAGAAGGCCTTGGTAGTGACTCATCCCCCCAAGATCTCTATCATATCCTGACTCTAAAGGGTCTGGTTGAGACTGGATACGGTGGCTCACGCCTGTGATCCCAGCACTTTGGGAGGCTGAGGAGGGCGGATCACTTGAGCTCAGGAGTTTGAGACCAGCCTGGCCAAGATGGTGAAAATACCAAAAAATTAGCCGAGAGTGGTGGCACATGCCCTGTAGCCCCAGCTACTTGGGAGGCTGAGGCAGGAGAATTGCCTGAACCTGGGAGGCATAGGCTGCAATGAACGGAGATCATGCTACTGCACTCCAGCCTTGGCAACAGAGCAAGACTCTGTCTGGAAAAAACTAAATACAATAAATAAAGGGTCTGGTTAAATGCTGATTGGTCAACACCTTAAGATATGGTACTGTCGTGGAACAAAAATATCTAAGCTGGAAGGCACCTTAGAGTTTAATTCCTGTTTCTCTTGTATTACTATCACGAGTAAGGAAAGTTCAGCCCACGGAGAATCAGGCTGTGGCTGAGTTCCTGCTGCCACCACCCACCGGGGTGGCCCTGGGCTTCTGTTTTCTCATTACGTCATGCTGCCTCCCAAGATGGGAGTGTGTGTGGATGCCCAGTGCTTCGTGCGGGGAGATGGTCCTTCCTTTTCCATCCGTTCTCTTCTCTGTATTGCTAGAAGCAGCCCCTGACCCAGCTGACATCACTTCCCACTGACTAGGAATCTGGCCTGGGGTTTCCAGTGACTAATATAGCAATTTAGGAACTTTCCATCCTAACGGGGCACTTCTCCTGGAGACTTTCTGTGTGCAGGAGGCTGTCACCAGCCCATTTTGTTCAAAGGGTAGGGGATTGTGCAATCTGATCGCAGCACTCACTGGCTCTGAAATCTTCTATGGTTCCTTGTAACTCTTAGGATCAAGTCCAAACTCCAAAGCTGGGCATTCGCTTGAGGGTCTTTGTTATGTGGTCCTGGGCTTTATCTCTTGCCTTTCCTTCTTCTACTTGGCCCACCTATGTTTATATTTTCTTTTTGTTTGTTTGTTTTGCTTTATTTTTTTGAGATGGAGTCTCGCTCTGTCACCCTGGCTGGAGTGCAGTGGCGCTATCTCGGCTCACTGCAACCTCTGCCTCCCGGGTTCAAGTGATTCTCCTGCCTCAGCCTCCCGAGTAGCTGGGACTACAAGTGGGCACCACCACACTTGGCTAATTTCTGTATGTTTAGTGGAGATGGGAGTTCACCATGTTGGCCAGGCTGGTCTCGAACTCTTGAACTTAGGTGATCCGCCCATCTCAGCCTCCCAAAGTGCTGGGATTACAGGCATGACTCACTGCACCTGGCCAATTATTCCTAGTTTAAAAAAATGCCTTTCTCACTTCAGTAAACTCAGTGGAATACTGGTCATAAAAATCCATTAATGGGCCAGGTGCAGTGGCTCACGCCTGTATCCAAAAAAAAAAAAAAAATTAGCCAGTCATGGTAGTGTGTCTGTAGTCCCAGCTGCTGGGGAGGCTGAGGTGGGACAATTGCTTGAGCCTGGGAGGCCAAGGCTGTGGTGGTCCATGTTTGCACCACTGCACTCATGCCACCTGGGCAACAGAGTGATGCCCTGTCTCAAAAAAAAAAAAAATTTTTAATTCTTATTTTTTTTTTATATTTTTGAGAAAGAATCTCACTCTGTCACCCAGGCTGGAATGCAGTAGCACGATCTCAGCTCACTGCAACCTCCACCTCCTGGGTTCAAGTGATTCTCCTGCCTCAGTTTCCCAAGTAGCTGGGATTACAGGCGTGTGTCACCAAGGCTGGCTAATTTTTGTATTTTTAGTAGAGACGGGGTTTTATCATGTTGGCCAGGCCGGTATCGAACTCCTGACCTCAGGTGATCCACCCGCCTCGGCCTCCCAAAGTGCTAGGATTACAGGCATGAGCCACTGTGCCTGGTCCCTGTGGTATAATGTTAATAAATAAGACCAGGATGCAGAATCTCAGGTGAGGTGCGGTGGCTCACACCTGCAATCCCAGCACTTTAAGAGGCTGAGGTGGGAAGATTGCTTGAGGTGAGGAGTGCAAGACCAGCCTGGTCAACATAGTGAGACCCCATCTCTTAAGAAAAGATATAAAATCTTACCTGCAGTGTGGCAACAACTACATCCAAAGACACATCTATGTAGAGGGGGTGATTTTTGGAAAGGAGGAGTACCCTAGTGGCCTTCGGAGGGTGGTGAGGTGCTGTGTAACTTCTCCCCCGTATTGTCCATGTTTTTTTTTTTTTTTTTTTTTGAGACGGAGTCTCGCTCTGTCGCCCAGGCTGGAGTGCAGTGGCCGGCCAACTTGTTCTTCTTTTTTTTTTTTTTTTTTTTTTTGGTGAACAACCATCAATTTTATGGTAAAACACCAAAAGAAAAAATACATTATTTTTATTGTTACCAGTGGTAGTTCCCTGCAAGTTTTGTCCCATACTTCAGAATAGGCAAAGTATTTTTGTATCCATGGCTCTCTTGATCCTTATAACAGTCCTCTGAAGACAATGTGGTATGTGTGTGTGTTTTCATTCAATCATTCACTTAGCATATTTTTTTTTTGTTGTTTTTGGAGACAAGGTCTTCCTCTGTTGCCCAGGCTGGAGTGCAGTGACATCATCATGGCTTGCTGCAGCCTCCAACTCCTGGGTTCAAGTGATCCTCCCATCTCAGCCTCCTGAGTAGCTAGGACTACAGATGCATGCCACCATGCCTGGCTACTTTGTTTATTTTTTGTAGAGACAGGTCTTGCTATGTTGCCCAGACTGGTTTTGAACTCCTGAGCTCCAGCAATCCCTCCTTGGCCTCCTAAAGTTTGGAACTGCAGGTGTGAGCTGCTGCACCCGGCCTCATACACTTGTTGAGTTCCCCTGACCAGGACTGGGACTTAGCTGAAAGGAATGAGATGCCCGGGGCAAAATGGAAGGAGGCGCTTACACTCAGGGTCCTGCGGTGCCACCTGAAGATGAGCGCCTCCTGCATTTTCCTTCCCTAGGTGCCTCACCTGACTCACCCTCATCCTGGCCCCGCCTCCACTCTGAGCCAGGCACTCTTCTCAGTTCTGGGGAAGTAACCATGAACCAAACAGGTAGAGCTCCCTGCCTACATGGACCTTCCATTACAGAAGGGGAGGCAGGTAGAGCTGGTACCCACTGAGGCTCCCACGGGCGCAGTGACTGCCCCAGGCATAGCAGCAGCTTCGACCCTCCTGTCCCGTGCTCTTTCTCTTAAGTCTTGTGTACTGGACCCCATGGGTGTCCAGCAGAATCAGCATTGTAACTTGGGCCACCTGTGGACCTCAGCTAATGGTGATGTTTCCAGTGTGGAGGGGTGGTTGGGGAGGATGTCCTGGAAAAGCCCAGCTAGTGGCTAGCGTGGGGACCTCTCCTGGAGGGACTGCCTCTCTGACTCTAAGCAGAGTCCTCTCCCTCCCTTCCAGCCTCCTATGTGATCACAGACCTGACCCAGCTGCGGAAGATCAAGTCCATGGAGCGGGTGCAGGGCGTGAGCATCACGCGGGAGCTGCTGTGGTGGTGGGGCATGCGGCAGGCCACCGTCCAGCAACTTGTGGACCTCCTGTGCCACCTGGAGCTCTACCGGGCTGCCCAGATCATCCTGAACTGTGAGTAACTCAGGGCCTTCCTTGGGTGGGGCCCATCATGCCCCTGAGCAGTTTCCGTCCGTGTGAGTTGCACTCTCTGGCCTTAATACTTTTTTCCTCTTTTAATTAAAAAACTAATTTAATGAGTGAGTTTATCATGCACATAAGAAACTGGTAACAGGCCAGTCCTGGTGGCACACGCCTGTAATCCCAGCACTTTGGGAGGCCGAGGCAGGTGGATCACCTGAGGTCAGGATTCGAGACTGGCCTGGCTAACATGGTGAAAACCTGTCTCTACTAAAAATACAAAATTAGCTGGGCTTGCTGGCCTGCGCCTGTAATCCCAGCTACTCTGGAGGTTGAGGCAGGAGAATCGCTTGAACCTGGGAGGTGGAGGTTGCAGTGAGCCAGGATTGCACCACTGCACTCCAGCCTCGGTGACAGAGTGAGACTCTGTCTTCAAAAGAAAAAAAAAGAAACTGGTAACAGTGGTTACCTGTGGGGAGAGGAACTGGGCAGCCAGAGAACACAGTGTTGGAGGGAGACTTTACTGTGAATTCTTTCGTACCTTTTAAATTTGGGCTATCTGTTCCAAAAATAAGTACATTAATTAATTTTGAAAACTCCAATAGCTATAACAAAAATTCAAAAAAGCATTCAGTAAAAATGATTCATATTGTCATCCTTTCCCTACTTTACATCCCAAGAAGTAATGACTTTGGTAAAAATTTCTGGCTTTTCTTACTAGAAATTTTCTCTGCATGGCAAGGGTATTTATGCATCTGCAATCCCTTTCTAAAAAGCTTTTTTTTTTTGAGACAGGGTCTTGCTCTGTTGCCCAGGCTGGAGAGCAGTAGTGTGATCAAAGCTCACTGCAGCCTTGATGTCCTGGGCTCAAGTGATCCTCCTGACTCAACTTCCTGAGTACTTTGGACTATAGGCACATGCCACCATGTCTGACTAATTTTTCATTTTTTTGTAGAGATCGAGGCTGGTCTTGAACTCCTGGTCTCAAGTGATCCTCCTGCCTTGGCCTCCCAACGTGTGGGATTGTAGGCACGAGCCACATTACCTTGCCTGCAACCCCCTTTTGATACAGATAGTAGCACATCATGTACTGGTGTGAATTTTTTTTTCACCTAGCAATAGACCTTGGGGACTGTTTCATATTGACATATTCTTTCTTTTTCTTTTTTTTTTTTTTGAGACGGAGTCTGGAGTCTCGCTCTGTCACCCAGGCTGGAGTGTGGTGGCGCAATCTCGGCTCATTGCAAACTCCTCCTCCCGGGTTCACGTCATTCTCCTGCCTCAGCCTCCTGAGTAGCTGGGACTACAGGCGCCCACCACCATGCCCGGCTAATTTTTTGTATTTTTAGTAGAGACAGGGTTTCACCGTGCTAGCCAGGATGATCTCGATCTCCTGACCTCCTGATCCGCCCGCCTCAGCCTCCCAAAGTGCTGGGATTACAGGCATGAGCCACTGCTCCTGGCCGACACATTCTTT